GTGTGTGTTTGTGTGCGTGTGTGTGCGTGCGTGTGTATAGTGGGTATAGAGACTCACCCCCTTTAAAATAATCACATTTTGTTGCTTTGCAGCCTGAGATGAAGACGGATACAGTTTGTTTTATCCAGCTGTATTTATATATATGTATATATATATATATATATATATATTAGTATGTGTGTATATGTATGTATACTGTATATATAATATTAGTGAATTAAATAAATATATATGTAATTTATATTTTACATTATTTTTTTATTTATATTTTAAATATATTTTTGAATAAAATATTAGTGAATTAATTAAATGGGGTATCCATAGAATTTTTATCTGAATTGGTCCTCATTATTTCACTGTGAAGTTTTTGAACCCTAAATAGGTGCCTTAAATTGGCATGTAAATGTGAGTGGTCATGTCTGTCTGATGTCAGTAAGGTGCAGGAGTTTGGAATGAGGCATTTTTGCAGATAAGTTTCAATAGTTTAATTTAGTCCAACGTGTTTTTCGGCTGGATAAGTTGTTTTTGTTTTGAAAGTTACTGTTTGTTTTCATGGTATGAACATCCTGGTGAAGACTAAAGAACAAATTATACTGAATCATATCATTTTGTTAGAGCATCTTGAGCGGTTTGTTGGGGTAAATGGGGTGGCTTCTCGTTGGTTCCATTCTTACTTGGAGGTTAGAAGTTTCACTGTAAAGATTGGGAATAATTGTTCTTCTGCTGCTCCTGTAAGTTATGGGGTGCCTCAGGGCTCTATTTTAGGGCTGTTGCTTTTTTTCTCTATACATGATTCCACTGGGCTCTATACTTAATAAATTTGGCATTTTGTATCATAGTTATGCTGATGACACACAGTTTTACCTGCCTTTTAAAGCAGGAAATAATACAGCTGAAAATTCCTTTTTGAATTGCCTTGAGGAGGTGAAATGTTGGATGAACTCGAATTGTTTAATGTTGAATGATAAAAAGACTGAAATTGTGCTTTTTGGGGAAAAAAAGCACATTGTTTACCCCAAAACCGAGTCTGGGGCAGTTTTCATCCTGTGTAAAAAGTCATGGCACTAACTTAGGCATAATTTTTGATTCTGAGCTCAAATTCTATCGTCAAATAAACACAGTAGTACAAAATAGTTTCTTTCAGTTGAGGAGGATTGCAAAATTGAAGTCAGTTTTATCAAAGAATGATCATGAAAAAGTTATACATGCTTTTATATTTTCATGCTTGGATTATTGTAATGCGATATTTGCAGGGGTTTGTCAGTCGTCCCTGTCGAGGTTACAATTGGTTCAAAATGCTGCAGCCAGATTCTGATTCTGGCCTCTCTACACTGGCTACCAGTTAAACAACGAATTATTTAAAAATTCTGTTATTAATTTTTAAAGCCATCAATGGCTTGGCCCCAGAGTATATCAAGGATCTGTTAGTTATTCAGTCCTCCTCAAGCTCGCTAAGATCTAACTGACAGATTATGCTCAAGGTTCAACGTACAAGTCTTAAGTGTAGAGGTGATCGAGCATTTTCAGTTGTGGCCCCTAGACTATGGAATGATCTTCCTTTCTTTGTGCGTTCTTCGACCTCTCTGCAGATGTTCAAATCACGTCTTAAGACCCATTTGTATTCACAGGCGTTTGATGTGTAGTTTTACAGGTATTATGTATTTTAATTAATTGCTATTATTGTTTTTGACTTTCTTGTACAGCACTTTGGTATACTTTCATGGTTTTTAAGGTGCCCCTTTAACTTCAATTATTCCCACTCTCTCCTTGCAGGAAAACAGAACTCCAGAGGAACACACTCTCTATGTGTGGGACCACTTCATCTCTAAATCACTTGCGAAAAACATCTTCATCGTGGCACACAGCTATGGCGGCTTATCATTCGTGAATTTGGTAAGTATTTGTTAGAGGTTATTATTATGAAAAGCCCTCCCCCTCCACTCCCTCATCACACACACAGTTGTGTTCACCAGTGGGAAAAGCAGCAACAGAGAGAGCAAAATGATTAAAAATAAATAATGCTTAGTTTCTTTGAGAAAATTCTGCTTTTGTAAACAATCCAGTTCATCCTTGTCCTAAGGCACTAAGACTTCCTTGAGCAGGAGGGAGGGATGAAGAAAGAATGAGAAACTGCAATGAGAGCTACAGCTCTGTTAAAGCATGTAGACGAGTATGCATAACATCAGACCCTGAGAGAAAGGAGAGACAAGTCATGATAGAAGGGCAGTCGGCCCCAAAATACACGCTAAAGTTAGAACGACAGAAAATAGACGTTTGATTCTTACATAGTCTCTCATTTGGACCCCCCCCCCAAAAAAGTTTGATGTGCATGGGGATAATGCACTCCAAAAGTAAAATTTGGTCATCTTTTTTTTATTACTAATTAATTAATGCAGTTATTAGGCAACTAGATTACATTATTTTCCAATTAACTTTAAATTAGTAAAATTGTGTTTTAATACATAACTAATAATAATAATAAAAAAAAACATATAATAATTATTTGTAATCTAATAACATTTTGACCATTTAAACACATTTTTTTAAATTGGGTCCAATATAGACATCCTTATTTTCAGTGCTTTTCATGAACCTCCCATCTGTTGAATCTGTCATTTTCTTGGCCTGTTTAAAGATAGTTATTGTTTTCCCCTCAGGCTAAATCTTATGTTTGAGAAGATCTCTCCATCAGGTTAGAGCATTGTCCTAAATTGAGATCATTTTTGTCTTGCATTCTCTTAGGGTGCTTTCACACCTGGCCTGTTGTTTCGGAACCTGGCACGTTTCCCCCCTTAGCTCGGTTCGTTTGGGCATATGTGAACACGGCAATCGTGCCCGGATCCGCGCCAAAACAATCGGTCCGAGATCGCCTGAACGAGGTGGTCTCGGCTCGATTGAAAATGAACTCTGGGCAACATTGTAATAATTTTAATCCCTGTTTCGGAACAAAGCAATCGATCTACAGGTGTGAAAGCACCCTTAAATTGTTCCATTGTTCAAAGAAAGCGTCCAGAAATTGGTAGTATAGTTGGGAGTTGATTTTCAGCCCTTCTGCCACCTGAAAGGGTCCAAAGATGTACTTCTGGGGACTCCAGGTACGTTTTTTTGTTGGGGAATTGGTGGCACTGGATGATTAAAGGTTCTTGGTGTCTTCACGTTTCATTCTTTTACAGTAAATTTGCACTTTTTTTCTTCTCAGCACATTTCTCATCCTGCCGAATATGATAAAATATTCTACATAGTTTTGAAGTTATTTATGGCGAAAGGAATTGGTAGTTGTGTTTCACATTATCAATCTAAAAAAGGAAATTTTGAGAACTATGGTGGAGGTGAAGATTTCTCGAGAATAATGCTTTGGTCTGTTTCTCACACAGAGCTATTGCATGATTTACAAGACTTGAAATCTAGTGTATAATCTTGTGAGCTACTTTTACGGTGCTATATTGTCCTTGACAGCTAATGTCTCATTATATGGCACCGATTATTAAGATCATTCCCTTTTGTTTTTCACAGACGAAAGTCAGTCATACTTGTTTTCGAATGACACAAAAAGAAAATTACCAAATTTTCATTCTTTTGATGAACTAACCCTTTACCTGAACCTTGTCAACTTCAGTTTTCAGCTATGTACCCTGTGTTACATCACCTCAGGGGTCAAGGGTCAGGTAACTTGTCACAATCTCTAGTCTAGTTGTGCGCATTGTTAGGACAACTTCTTCAGGAGCACTCTGGCTAACCTTTGACCTAACATAAACACACTTTTTTGCTTTCTTTCGTACACACTCCTATACCTACATGGGAGCTCTTTTCATGAACCCATTCCACTTTTCTTTTAAATTGGGAGAAGGGAGGGTGGAGCGGATGGCCACGACTTAGCATTCCTCTGATAATTCCAAGAATATGTTTTTATCTGAGGCAGGAGTCTCTGTGTTTCGTAATTTGAATATAACTGTTAAATATTTATGTGGCGTTGTGGCCATGACAGCCCCTTGCTGGTGGAGGTATGGTGGTCTTCCTCCAGAGATCTGTTTAGCCGTCGTTCTCTGATGCATCCCTGTTTTTTTCCCCCTTTTCTTGCTTCCAAATACACACACACACACACACACACACACAGGCAAAATGCTCACTTAGACACACTATTTCATATATAAACCATGCTTATGCTTTCCATTGGTTCTGTTGTCTGTGGTATGGAGTGGCAGGTATATTCTGACGAACTGGATGAGAAGAACTTAGTCGTCCAACACAGATTATCTGTATAGATCTTATAAATGATCTTGTATAACATCTCCATTCAACGTTTAATCATTTTAGATGTTTGACATACAATTTTTTATAGTTTGGTAAATGCACCAGTAACTCAAGTGAAACTTGAATAAAATGTGTGTAAAATGTGAATAAAACTTGAATTATTTCAGTTTTTATTTATTCATTCATTTATTTAACATTTTATACTAACAAGAACTCAAATCATCTGTACATTTCATTGACAGTAACCCAATCTAATGAGAGGGCTGGTCATGTGACTTGGTGTGAATAAGCCTTTAAAAATGGTTCAAGGTGAAAGGAGTTAGAGGCCAAGATGGAAAAGGTGGACACAAAGAGTTGAGTTGAGGAGAAAAATCTTTAGCTCGTCATAATAGATTGCCTGAAAACAGGCCATCTGTGGCTTAATTACTGCTCCCTTTAACTCCTAACAAACACATTTCTGATCAGGCACATCAAACACAGGCCGATTAATGTCTTCAGCATGCTGCCTCTCTCTCTCCTTCTCTTTCTTTTCATTGAAATTCAATTTCTTTTCGAAGGCAGTATGTAGTAATTATAGATACATCAAAGTGTGCCTTTAAGTAAGAGTGGTGCGTCAGGGTTGGACAGCTTTATGTCAGGGCTCACTCTTCCATCTCTGTGTTCCTGTTTCAACAGTCTCTGTTTCTTATCATATATGTGGCATGAATTCTGAGTTTGAGGAGACTGTAGACAAACTGTTCTCTCTTCACTGTCTGCCACTCTGTTTTTTCTTCTTCTAGCTCTATGGCTGCATTTGAATTCCTGTTGGTTCATAGTATGTACTGAATTTGAACTTTATTTCAACCATTAATGTGTATTATGAATATATTACCAGATATACAACATCCACCATTGTCCTGTGGCTCATGTACATTGATCTATAATTAGTCAGGAGAACTGCAAAGAATTGAATTATTCTGTTCTTATTCCTCTTAAAGTGCCCCTATTATGCCATTTCGAATATTGCCTTTCATGCAGCGTGTAATGAATATAAACAATCTGCAAAGTTGTAAAGCCGAAAGTGCACAATAAATAAAATTGTCTCTCAAAAGAAAGAATCGACTCTGAACAGCCTAAACGAGTCGTCAGAAATTCTACACATCACGGGGTCACACATTTGCGTAATACCCACCTATGTTTTACGTTGGCCAGCCGCGAACAACTTGACCCCGCCCTCAAACACTGTAGCTTGTTCATGTGGTTAACATCATGTCGAGAAGATGCTGTGTCCTGCGCTGTGAAAGTAAGTGTGTTTTATTTTCACTTCCGAAAGATGAGGCTGCAAAGAATCAGTGATTAAAATTAATCTTTTCCACTGTACCACAGCAGTACAACCCCAATCGTATTAATTTTATTGACGACTGCTTCTCTAATCTCGGGGAGTTTAATGCGGGATTCACAAAACGCTTGCTCCTGAAAGATGGCTCAGTACCCTGTTTATTTGGACCAGCTGGCTCCACTGAATTGTTAAATATTAAATGCATATTTTGAGAAAACAAAGGCATTTTTTGACCTTGCATGCATGTAAACCTGTTGTAGGAGACTCCAAAAACAATATTATGAACCTTAAAAATGGCATAATAGGGGCACTTTAATCATTCTGGTTACTTAAAGGTTTCATTAACTATGTATTACACACAATTGATATTTTTATTGTGTATCTTTATGCACGTGTTGCCTTAAACAAACAGTTAGTAACTGAACTGATTTAAGTCTCACAAGCTGTAACCTGACTGTGCTTGATTCACTAAAAAGAACCAATTCATCAGAGTCATTCATTCACTAATCAGACTACATTGGCTGTTTTTGTGTGTTTGTTTCACTAAAAGAAACAACTCAGTGGAATCATATGTTCGGGAATTGTACTACATTAGTTGGGCAGTATATGTTTTGGAATCTTACTACACTAGTAGTAAAGTATGTGTTTGAATCACTAAACAGAATTGGATATTAAGAGTAATTTTGTGAGTCAGACTACACTAGTTGTACAGTATATGTTCGATTCACTAAAAAATAAATGACTAATTAGGATAATTTCCATGGAAATCCGACAACGCTAGTTGTGCCGTATGAATTTGATTCACTAAAAATAACTGGCTCTGAAGAGTCATTTGTTTGGTTACCAAACTACACTGATTAGTCTAGTGGTTTCACACTGTAGAATTTGTAGCATTGTTGTTGTGCATTGAATAAATATGAATGCTAATAAAAATAAATTTAGTGTGGTTTTGTCCACATCAGCACACATCAGAATGCTTGTTAGAAAGCATAGAAAGCAGAAAACCGTTAGCTGTTCTACCACATTTTTTTCCAAATCTGTTGACTCATTACACTCATCTCTGCCCATGGGATAGCAAAATGTACACTTCACAATCTTAGGAAATTTCAGTTTAATTTTGTGGAACCATATTGGCTTACCACTTGATGTCCAGTGTAAAATCGGGGTCCTGAAGCAAATCCAGTTGCAATGCACTGCCCTTCATCTCACCTGATCATACCTGTCCCATAGCCTTCTCTTTCTCCATCTGATCTTGTTTGATTGCTGCAGCGGCGGCTCCAGCGTTTGCTTTCATCTATGAGTCTAGCTGGAGGCCTGTGGGAGC